CCAACCGCCCAAAATCCTGTATTACTGTGAAAGAAAAAAAAAACATTCATTTTCAGCTATCTGAACTTAAGATGAATGGTTTTTAACTGGTGACTAATTAAACTTGCGGTGTTTTCATTACATTAGATATTTGTTTGTTTCCAGCATTTTGATATAAGCACAGTGTATGTGACATTCTTCCTTTGTGGTTTCTTACAGGAAGAATGTCTTCAACTTTGCGGGATAAGAAAGCATTTACGCTTCTTGGTCGTTATGATACATGCCTTTATGCTAATGGAAGCTTATCTAAGATTACAATTAATGCGGGTGCTTATGGTAGCTTGAGCTGTGGTTGTCATATGGTTGATGGTTTATTAGAGGATTTTAGGAAAAATTCTAATAGCAGTCACTGGATTCATATGGTACACGATTCTTCGGAGCGTAATGTTATGGAATTTGATTCGAGTTCTAGATTGCATCATTATACATTGGAATGGGGAGATTGTGTGTCAGCGTGATGGAAGTCATGATATCTTTCACCTATAATTACTTTTTTTTAGTCTATACACCACAGTATTTGGCTCATATTAGGATGGACATGTCAGGTTATATAGTTGGTACTTAAAATTTTAAGATATAGTGTTTAAAAATCTATAATTAGTGGCATTTTTGCAAATGACCACCTCTAAATGGCATTTTTTGCAAATGTGCAAGTAAAATATGGTATTTTTGCAATTTCTCCTTTTTTTATTGATACACAATTTACACTGTTTTATGAAATTATAATTGATGTTAAAAATAATAAGAATACACATCAACTAAATAATTAATGTAAATTTTTATTTTGTATCAGTTTTTTCATGTGATATCATTTAAGACACAATTAGTATCAATTTTACTTAATCGATGCAAAATACACTAATCTGTATCACTTGTAAATAAATAGACCTAAGTAGTAGTATCATTTATTTTTGGAAAAACTGTCATTTTAATACCGAACTATCCGTTTTGAGTCAAAATAAGTACCAACTTTCTAATGAGTAA